GGCGGGGCGGCATTTGTCGTAGCCATCTGATGAAGTATGTTGTTGTAGTATATGAAAATGCCTGAACACCTAGGAGAGGTGCTCTGCTGATACATTCCTTTCATAGGTAAACAGCTTTCCTGTCCTGTACAAATCCATGTCTCAGTGTCACTCTACTCGTTTCTTAGATCTGTGCTCCTTTACAACTCTTCCTGGTCTGTCTTTCTCTGTTTGTTTATGCGCGTGTGAGAGAGAGATAAATATTTCAATGATAAAAAATAACATCCGGGTCATTTGAAGCGGCTCACAAAGTCCCCGCCCCTCTCCTTAAAGGTGTTCTTATTTTCTCCGTCGCTTTCCCGCGATAAAGAGGAAGAAGAAAGGGGCGTGGCTTGCCTTGGCTGCCTGTCCGCCTGCGCGCGCAGCGGCGGCGGCGGCTTCCGTTGCTGCCATGGCGGCGCGGAGCGTGACGGGCTCCGGGGCGCGGAGGAGCGGCCGTTGCTACAGCTTGGCTCCGTCCTTCTCCGGCCGGTGGCTGCGCCCCTGCCCCGGCAGTTGAAGAAGAGGCCTGGTTGTCCCCACCGCACGGCCCGGCCTGAGGAGGGCGCCGAAGAATGGCTGAGGCGGCCGTCGAGCTGGAGACGCTGAGGGGGAAGGTGGCTGCGTTGGAGCAGGAGTTGGGCGCCTGCCGGAGCCGCCTGGAGCGGGAGAAGAAGCTGCGCCTCAAAGCCCAGGCCAGCGCGGCCAAGTTGCGGAGACAGGTATGAGCCGAGGGGAGAGGAGAGAGCATGTCCTCCCGGGGGAGAGCTTCTTTGTCACAGATCAAACCTAGGCGACCCAGGCGGGTGGCTCTTGAGGGAGGCTTCGTTCTTCGCGTGACAGGCAGAGTTTCACCTGGTGCAGCTTTCCTTGACCACGCGGCCCCTATCCTGAGAAACGCTCATTACATAAACTTCTTCCTGTCGTCGAACTAGGACTAATCGTGTAGAAAATATAGGGCATCCAGATTCAAGTCTCCCCTGAATTGTGAAACCCACTGGGTGACTCTGGGCTCTCAGCCTGACCTATCTTGTGAAGTGAGATGGAAAGGTACCCAGGTGTGCCATCTTGAGTTTACTGGAGAAAACGCAGAATTAAAAAAAAAACCGTAAATATAGGAATCACCAAGAAGGATGTTATCTAAGTGCCTTAGGTAGGGCAGGGCTGGGGAAACTTTTGCTTTCCAGGTGTTTAGGCCCATTACTCCCATTGTCCTTCACAGCTACCGTGTTTTCCCGAGAATAAGACAGGGTCTTATATTAAGTTTTGCTCCAAAAAACCTCACGAGGTCTTGTTTTCATGTTTTTCATGTACAGCAATGTACATTTATTAAAATACAGTCATGTTGTCTTCTGGTTGCTGCACAATGGTGGAGGGTGGAGCTTATTTTTGGGGTAGGCCTTATATTATGAGCATCCTGAAAAAAATCATACTAGGGCTTATTTTCAGGTTAGGGCTTATTTTTGGGGAAACAGGGTAGTAGAAAGCTGTCCAAAACATGTTCCTAGTCTTGAAAACCAAATTGTTTAAAATTATGTATTTTCTTTCATCTTGCCCTCTCTTTGGAGTTAAGGGCACACACATCGTTTCAAAAACAGGGAGAAGTCCTGCAAAGTAGGTTAGCATGAGAGGTGAATGAACAATGGCAACTGAGCCTCTGTAGCATGGAATTTTGAATTTGGCCATCCCACTTGTAGTCCAACAACTTAAAGCACTATGCCTGTATTGGTTTGGGGTTGTCATTAGTTATCTTTGAGCTGAGCAAGTACAGTACCATACAGACAAGGAACTCATTTAATACTCCTGACTGGTGCTGATTTGAGACCCTGTGTTTTGGCTCCGCTCTTTTTCATCTAGTCACTAATGCTTTCATCTTATGCTCCAAAAACGCATGTTTTTTTGTGTATTTCACCTGTACTTTTTGACAGTCTGGAGGTAGAGGTAATGAACCTTGGAACTTATTTATGCATTTAGCAATGAGCTGTACTCTACCACTGAGCTATGGTCCTTTTGCCTTAACTGTTCGTTGCAGAAGTGCCAGTCACTCTGGTTTTCCAATTTTGTTGATTTTCAAAATTATGTCGCACACATGCATTTTCAGTACATGGACTTAAGTTGTAAACATTTATCTTATTTTTAGGTTGAAGAACTTAAGGAAATAAAGGAAAACAGACAAAGCGAGAAAGCAACATCGAGTATAGAAGTGCAAACTGAAGAATCTTCTGTGTGGTCATATACAGGTAGCTAGCGAATGATGTAACTTTGCGGATAACTAAGTAATCTTATGGACAACTGAACACTGTCCATTTCGGTTGTTGTAGGTTTTTTGAATTGTTTGGCTGTGTTCTGGAGGTTTTTCTTCCTAATGTTTCGCCAGTCTCTGTAGCCAGCATCTTCAGAGGACAGGAGTTAGAACTCTGTCTGTGTTCTAGAGTTCTAACTCCTGTCCTCTGAAGATGCCGGCCACAGAGACTGGCAAAACGTTAGGAAGAAAAACCTCCAGAACATGGCCAAACAATTCGAAAAACCTACAACAACCATCGGACCCAAGCCTTGAAAACTTTCGAGAATATCTGTCCATTTTATTTGGCTTCTTTTTGTACTGAGTGTAAATATACAAAGTGTCTGGCTTCACTTGATCAGTTATATAAACCTTTACATAGTTTATAATGATCCACCTTGAAATTAAATTCAGGATAACAGTATATCTTAAAATGAAAAAGTTAAAACAGGAATAAATATAACTTGCTCCTACTTGCTGAAATCTATCCTGGGAAACCTGTGAAGTCTTGGCTCCTTCCAGAAATGTATTTGGGCCAAGGCTTTGGCAAGTTTCCAAAAAAATGCACACAGAATATATCTATTTGAACACTTCTATGTGTCTTTGATATTTGAATTTTATATATGGGTTTTAAGAAAGATCCTTTGATTTAGTTATTAAAAGTTGTACAGAAAGTGATCTCAAACATGTCTAGAACTCAAGCAAGACCAGATTAAAAACATCAGAGTTTTGTTCAATAACTTGGACTTTTACCTTTCCCTTTTGATATCCATGTACAGACAAAGATTTGGAGGTAGTGGTGTTAATTAAGGTCTCGAGTCATTAACCATTTTAGATGACAGGATTATGTGATAATTAATTTGTATTTATATATTGTTTAATTTGCAAGTCTAATAAAATGGCTTAGCTCTTCTCTGTGGCAGTCTTTATTTGAATTATTTAGGTGGCTGAATAAGTGGGGAATCTTGATCCAGCTAAGTGGGGCAGGATTACTGTAAAATGCCTGACATAAGATTTTTTTTTTTTTTGAAGATTGAGAACTCAGTAGCAATAATGGTAACATGGTTTGTTCCTAGTGTCTTGTTAAATCTGTCCTATAATGTCTGTGTTGGTCACCAGTTTGCTTCAGGGTACAGTTCAAAATATTGGTCGCTGCTTTTAAGTTATTCAAGATAGTTAATGGATTGCTACCTCTTATTTCAGACATCCTGCTCCCTAAGATCAGAAAGAATCTGTGTTGCACTAAGTCTGTAAGCACAACTGATGGTGATAAGAGGCAGGGTGTTCTCAGTGTCTGTACTAGTATGGTGGAATACTTTGCCCTGAGAAGTATGATTGTCCTCCCTGCTGAATGTATTTTTCCAGTTAGTGTAGGCATTTCTATTTCAGCATAGACCTTCCAGCTAACTACTTTGTTTAAAGCTACCATTTGTCTCTGGTCTGTAGCCTTTGACCAGTGTCTTACTGAGCTGATTCCAGGCAGACCGTTCTTCCAGTGTATTACTACTGCAGGATCGCGCTCCTTGTGCAAGGTTTGAGTTTTCTTCATAGAGGACACTGTGCAATGGCAATGTTTGTGTGTCCAACTCTGCATTGGTGAGATTTTCCGCTCACTGAAAACTCAGTATGTTACTGGCCCATGCATTTTTTAAATTTTAAAAGATTTTTTGAATTATATTTTAATACAATTTTTATGATAGTGCAGTAGAACTAGAGGGTTGGGGTGGATTTTTTATATATGAATATTTTAGAATATGCAAAAATATTACTGGGTTATTGAATTTCTAATATTTTTCAGATTATTACTTCTACCATGATTACTACAACAATTCTGATCCTGATGATTTATCCAGTGCACCAATACAACCAGATAATGAGAGATCAAAACCTGCCTGTACAGACGAGTTGCATCTGGGTGATCACCAAGATGTAAATGGTGTGAAGCATGATGAGCAAGGGGAACACAACAGTGTGATCCATACTGTGCAGGTGGAGTGCATTTTTGTTGTATTTCCCATTATCTCTCCCAAGTTGGTATACATGGTTGTCCCATTTTATTGTCATGACAGCTTTATGTTGGTTTAGGCTAAAAAGGTTATTCATGAAGCACAATTGAGCTTCATGGCTGAGGGGTGTTACTGAACATGAGCATCCCTGGTCAAAGATAAATTCTCAATACAACATTGGCTCTTGGCACATCATATCCTTTGATTTACAACTTGCTTTTGCCTTATGCTGCCTAAGATGACAGCATATATCTGCAGAAAGAGTCTGAGCTGTCCAGCTAGACTTTGTTCCACTTCCATTGTACCTGAAAGGCTCTCAACTTGTTTTTTTAGGAGTTTCCTTTGCGACAGTATGAAAAAGCCCATGTTTTCACTTGAGGGATGTCTCCCTACATTAATGGCCAAGTAGTTGGAAATGGGTACAAAGTATAATTTGCTTTTCTTTTTTAATTAGAATGTCTCTGAAATCATAGCAATCGTGAGTGCCAGCTTTACTAATACAATTCTTTATAATGATTATATATAATTTTTTTCAAAAAAAAAAAGCAGTAGTATGGGATTCCCATTCTCTTATACTTATCATTTTTAGAGAAAAACTGGCAAATTTTATAAGCTGGTATATCCCACTGGGTAGAAGATTAGATGCTGAATTTTATACGCTCAGTCAAAAACTCACAGGATTGTCTGGGGTATATTGGTCAGTATACCTTTGAAAGCAGGTAGTGCATAGCACTGTGCTCCTGTATGATCTTGTCATAATGCAAGCAGAAATGCAAGCAGAGATTACCCTGTTCAAAGCAATAGAACATCTGCTTGCTCAGGGAGATAGCGAATACTGTGTTGCACAAACTCTGAAAAAGTCCAGTCGCTCATGCAATTTTGTGCAAGAGGAAGGAATTAAGAGGATTCTGTGCATTTTTTAGCTACTACTCCCCATCTGTAGCAAATTCAGACTCCAACAACATTAGCTGTGGTAGGAGCAAAATTTACAACACTTACTGTGTATTTCAAAGTGCTATAGAAAGATCATGACGTATGTTGTGTCTTTTAATCTTAGAAATCCGAAGATAGTGTATTAAGAGAAGGTACCTTGGCAGATAGTCTGAGAGCTGCTGCAGAGGCTGCTGTATCTCAAACAGGATTTGTATACGATGAAAGCACTGGATTATATTATGACCATAGCACTGGGTTCTATTATAATTCGGTAAGTATTTGATTTGATACTATGTTATCAACTAATAAATGTAAACAACTAATACGGTTTGTTGGTAGTTGTTCTGTTAATATCTTGGAACTGTTGTAGATCGCAAGCTAAAGATAACCCAACAGTGTGATTTGGCTGCGAAAAAGGCAAATGCTATTTTGGGCTGCATCAAAAGAAGGAAAATCCCCAAATCATGTGAAGTATTGATTCCTCTCTATTTGGCACTGGTAAAGCTTCATCTTGAATAATGTCTCCAGTTCAGAACACCACGCTTTAAGAAAGATACAGAGTTTAGAGCAGGGGTGGGCAATTAATTTCTGTAGCGGGCCACATGAAAAATCTGAACTGTGTTTTGGGGCTGAACCAACTTTACTTAAAAATAAAATCAAATTTTGTAGGGAGTTAACTATGTGAGCATTGTAATTTGTTCACTACGGGGGGGGGACCCTGACATTGAGGTAACCCGCCTGTCCTCCTTTCCCCCGCGGCCTTCCTTTTCAACTGTCTTTTATCCCGTGCAGGTGACGTGATGTGTCGTCATGTCGCCTGCGCAATGATCGCTTCCGGCCTCTTGAGCTGCAGGCTGCGGAGCCTGCGGCTCAAGAGTAACAATCAAACTCACGAGATCCCAACATTGGATCTCACGAGTTTTGCTTGCTGCCGTGCTGGGTGACCGGAGCCGGAGCTCTGGCTCACTCAGCGGCGACGGGCAGGCCGGACAGGAGCAGCAACGGGCAAGCCGGACAGGAGCGGCGATGGGCGGGCAGGACAGGAGTGGCTCACGGGCCATATGTGGCCTGCGGGCCACACTTTGCCCAGGTCTGGTTTAGAGGAAGGCAACAGGGATGATGAGGGGACTGGAAATCAAACCCTATGAGTAAAGACTGAAAGATCTGGGGAGATATGATTACATTTGTCATACAGAGAAGAGGCTAATCTGTTCTCAATCACTGTGGAATGTAGGACACATAATAGTGAGCTCAAGTTACAGAAAACTTGATTTCATCTGAGTATCAACTTGAGTCCTAATTGTTAGAGCAGTACTACAATGAACCAGTTATCTCTCCAGCCCACGAGGCATTGAAGAGAAAATTAAACAGCCGTCTGTCCGATATACTTTAATTTGGATTGCTGTACTAAGCAGTGGCTTGGCCTTATGGGCCTCTTCCAACTCCATGATTCTATATTTTGTTCTTTGTAAATGGCAAATTGGGCTCATAGTTATTTCAGAGTATTTCAGAATTTTTTCAACTGTTTTTACTGTGTGAAATACATAATTTAGCATCCTTTTAAACATATATGTGGTTATGTGCTCCCACTTGGTATACTGAGTCTTTTGTGGATGTTTTTCATTGACATTTGCCTTTTCCTTTCTTTGTTTTGCTGTTTGTTTTTATGGTTTTGAGATATTCATACATTTTAAAGATATTTTTCCCTTATAATTTTGTGAAAGGAAAACCAACTGTATTATGATCCAGCCACTGGAATTTATTATTACTGTGATGTTGAAAGTGGTCGATATCAGTTTCATTCGCGCGTAGATCTGCAATCTTATGGACCTGGAACTACTCAGAACAGCAAAGACAGGAAAAGCAAGAAAAAAAGGAAAGATGCAGAATGGCCTACAGCAAATGAATACAAGGTATTTTCTCAGTAAATAAGCTTGTTTTAGTAAATTTATAATAACTGGTGCATTTATATTAAAATAGGCACCTTTCTCGTGTCTGGTAAGTATGTACCACATTCAAAAGAAAATTTTATGTAATATGAGTTATAAGTAACTTTTACATACTGATTTTGAAAATTCTTACTGTGTTTCCCTGAAAATAAGACAGGGTCTTTTATTAATTTTTGCTCCAAAAATGCATTAGGGCATATTTTCAGGGGATGTTTTATTTTTTCTTATATAACAATCTACATGTATTCAAATACAGTCATGTTATCTTCTTCTGGTTGCTGCACCAGGGTGGAAGGCGGGGTTTCACTGAATTAGGGCTTATTTTTGGGTTAGAGCTTATATTACAAGCATCCTGAAAGATCATACTAGGACTTATTTTCAGGTTAGGTCTTATTTTCAGGGGAAAAGGGTAGATTTGTTTAATTATACACAGGGACAGAATTGCACCATAAATCATTTGGATTCAGAGTGAATATAATGAGCAGGGAGGACATATAAAATATTTATACCAATTAATCACTTAATAATATTTTGGATGAATATTGTAAATAAATATTGCTATAAATTAGCCCATTAATCTGCATTTATGGCCAAAATTAGTATTTCTGACTATTTGAAGATGTGTTCTGGATTAATCTTTTTGAAACTCTTATGGGGACAATTGATGTTACTGGCCAAAATCCTCTTGTGCAACTTAAACTGGCATAGGGAAAATGATGTCACTGGTAGTGGCAGATTGCTGCTAACTGAAGAGTTCTTTGATTCCTCATTGTTTCAGTTTCACCTAAGAGCAGACAAGTCACACACAACTAGGAATCATAGTAAGAGTTCTTTAGTTGGTGACAATCTGCTGATGTCATTTCTCTTTTGCTGGCATGAGGTATATAAGGGGTTTTTAGCTATCATTTTCTGGATAAAATAGTTGAAGATTTCTTACAGTTTTAGTTTGAGGTGACAGAGCCAGTTGGGATTAGTAAGGATTTTTCAATCCTTTTCTTTTGGGCAGCTAGGACGGACATAACAGGAGACGGTTGCCTTTGATTTGTGCATGCATTTGTGGGCAGGTTGTATTTCTTAGTTTAAAATATTATCTTTTTTAATATAGAGAGTGATTTCTGAGAGGAAGATTTCCTTTTGATTTAATTGATCAGCAGACTAAGCGTTTGCTCTCCTCCTTATACTGCAGATTGTGACTTTGTACATGAAGCCTTTGAAGATGGTAGTGGTACAATATACTACTACTGTAATGATGTGAGCAAGCTACTTTGTGTTCTCCACATGCTGTTCTAAATTATACATAAGTCTTATCCTGCTTTAAGGTATTTTGGAGTTAAAGATCAGTGGAAGTAAATTGGAAATGCAGGACTTCATCTGCATTGCATTACAGAAGTGATAACCGAGAGGATTTGTGTCTTTACAGATGGAACATATATAATTATGGTAGAGAAGCTGCAGAACAGGTGGTAGTATATGAACTATATTTAGTTGGCAGGGCTATCAAAATTTAATTTGTACTTGGCCATCACTGGTATGAATTGGATAAACCTACTTTGTTTTTAACAAGGATGGGATTTCTGATTTCTTGGACTATGAATCCCATAGCTCCCCATTTTGGAGTTCTACCTGATTTACACACACCTTATAGATACCTAAATGTAGCTCACATGGGAGAAAAGGACTGAGCTGGAAGACTTTTAAGGCTTAGCTAGGCCTAACTACTCAAGTTTCCTCTTTTTACCTCAGTGCTGGCTGTGTGTGACCTTGCTTTCTGAACAGGAAGTTAATCCTGCCTAAGTCTCAAAGCCTTCCAGTTTAGGCCTTTTCTCCCAAGTGAGGCACATTTGGATGTCTGCAAGGTAAGTCAGGGAGAACTCTCAGAATGGGAAATTTTAGGATTCGTAGTCCAAAAAAATTCCAAAATCCTATCCCTAGTTTTTAATATTGCCACTACTTTATAGTCTTGGCAGTTTAAAAAAATCTTACTATCTTATTCCTATATTTATCTATTATAAGGGAAACCCTTTATCATATTCAATTGCTTTTGGTTGTGTTTTCATCCTTTATACAATTGTATACTCATATTTTTGCACTTGTGCAAAAGTGGAAGCTGTAGCAGGACCAGGTACTTTAACTCCATTATATAAATGCACAGTTGCTGTTCTCCTCCATTCACTGCAGATTTTGGTGTAAAGGCACATAGATGTCTCCCAGATATAGCATTTTATTTTCTTTATCCTACTAGTCTTGGTGGGTTGATTTCAGCTGTACATTTGTAAGGTAGGTGCCCCTTTTGAGGCTGAAACCTGCAAAGTTTCAGAAAAGGAGATTTAGTGAGTTTTGTGCAGTAACAACTTTGTTTGTTTAGGGATTTCTAAAGCAGGATCTGCTTCTCTCCTTATGTCTTTGCAGATATTATTAAAATGATAAAGAAAATCTATGTGGCTCTAAAAAAATTTCAGAAACCTAATGCAGTACAGTATGTGTATAAGGGAAGTGTTGAACTATTTGGGGAGAAGTTATCCTGTATGATCCTGTATGGGTTTGAGACAATTTTTATGAAAATATCATAGAGGCATTCTTGTGAAAGGAACTGTAAAAGTTTGAAAGAATAGGTGCAGAGACTAACCAGTGAATGAAAACAATTTAAGACTTCTGTGTTTGCTGCTTAGTTGGTATCCAAGTCACACAAACTGCAATAGGATAGGTGTAGATTATGGATGTGGAAGATGTACATGCAAAAGGATGTGTATATCCGGCATTTTCCAAGCAAGCAAATAGCAAACAAATTCTCCTACATCCCACAGACTCTACCAAAATACTTTTAACATTCCTGCTCTGGAAAGGAAGAACTAAGAAGGAGAACGGAATACTGCATCATATTAGTCATGCAAGACCCTGCTTTAAAATCCCTCTTCCAAAGTATGGGATTTAAGAGCTCTGGTAAAAGCACTTATTGTGACTATTGCTTGCGGTTACAAAATGACACCCATTCCACTCTATCTCCCCCTGGTTTTTCATTACATGGAGACCTTGTGGAGAAATATATCAATTTTAGAAACAATTGTTCTGTGTCTCTCTGTACCCAAAATCCGATCCAATTCAGAGGAGTCATTCAATTTGGACATCTTCCCCAAATGGTCTAGATAAGTGACTGTATACAAGATTTGTGATTTGGCCAAATTAGAAGCATAACACTCCATGGTTTATACTGAAAGCTATTTAAGAGTCTTCAGGTGTCTTCCTGAGCAGAAATGCAGTATTTGACAATAAAGGAGAATGTGTTTTTTTCTTGTGTTTATGAAACATTCTAAAGTGCCCACCTTGCTTTTTTGTTTTGTTTTGTGGCACATTATGGTACAGTATTTTGATGTTCTCAGGTCTAATTTGAGAACTGTCTTTAGTCTGCTTATATTTTCAGTTGCTACCTAATTTTATTTTCAATTGTATGGTTTTAGTCTAGATGTCAGTGTTTTATTAGAGGTAAGCGCTAACCACCTGCTACCGACGCCATCTTGCTATCTAGATGTCAGTGTTTTATTGCATACTTGCCTTTATACTTTATTATTACATATTCATTTTGTAGTTTGATGGGAAATAGTAGTATTCAAATGTTCTAATGAACTCAGAGTAACAGACTGGCTGATTTTTCTTATGCTACTGTTTAAACCTCTCTTGTAGGTCTTGTACAATCACTTGTGTTACAGCCCTTGTGTGTGTTTTGTGCCATGTATGGTCTTGAGTTCAACACACTGTGCTTTGTTCCTATAAAATTGACAGGTGCTAATGAATGGATGCTGTAGTGCCTGACTGTCATTAGTAATCTCTGTAGGCTAGGATTCGTTGTTTGGTTTCAATATATTCTATATGAAAGATCTGCTTTAAAATATATTCTATATGAAAGATTTGTTTTTGCCTTAATGATACACAGTAGAAACTCGTGTAACTTTGTTAGAAGCTGTTTCTTCCAGGGTCATGTGAGTAATAGTTCTTTATCACTATATTCATGTGAATCAAATGAGCATGAAATATACCTTACCAGCTATTCGTACCTGACTACAGTGAGTTTTGTACTTCATATTATTGTGTGCTAGCAAAAATAACAAATGAGTACTGGTAGCATTGTTTCCAGAAAAGTTGCTGTGTTGATCTTTTATATCAGAAAGACAGGCTGTGCTCTTTCGCTTTTAGGCTCCATATAAGCAACCTTTTCAGAGACTTGCAAATAGTATTCTAGGAGTCTGTAGAAGCTGTGGTCTTTGGTAATGGTTTGGCAGCAGTAGACTTGCTGTGAAGGGACTATCCAGGCAAGCCTAATAATACTACATGGGATAGGGGAGCAGCGCAAGTGAAGTGACTGTCGAATAATGCAAGCAAGCAATTTTACAATTTGAGATTTCATTGTGCTAGGAGGCAAACTATTTCCTTCTCTTCACTCCACTTTATGTCAGTGCTGTTGTTAAAAAGTATTAAAGCTGGATCAAAATTACCTTTATCCTAATAGGAAGATAGTTCCTTTTGTTCAGCAAACTATAGCTATTTCTCTTGTCCCCACTGAATATTAACAAGCTAGTATTATACTGTATAGTCCAAGAGAATGCTGTGACCTACTGTTTCAAAAGCTTTTGAGAGCTTAGAACAGGCACCAAGGCATTGAAGCCCATAATTGCGCTAGAAACCAGATGGAATGTATCCGCCAAACTAAAATTTGTCAAGAATTCCAGTATATGGGATACAATAACACATCCACCAATAGTAGATGAGATAATTTAGAGGCTTCACTCTTATTCACTGATTGCTTAAATCGGGAAACAAATTACTACTATTTTTAATAAGGAGATGCATTTCCTTCCTGAAATGATTACTGGTTTAATTTCCTTGGTAAAAATGACCAATTTCAACAGGTATATTGTAATAAACAAGAAATCTGTTTGGTTCTTTACCCTTGCAAAGGTCATGTGCTAACA